CAAGCTATGAAGACTAGTGAATTTCGAGAACAAGAAGCTCGTAAAATGTGTTTGAACTATCTTTACGACTGACTGTGCTACATATGGACTCCACTAGTTCGAGTTATAGTCCAACATAATAACACAAATAGCGACATGGAGTTGGCCAAGTGACTCAAATTCAGTGTACTCGAACTCGAGATAGAACCATGCGTTAAGATCGTTTTATCACCTTTTTGGTTGTGAACAACATCATAAGATTCACTATCAGATATTACTAATGGAGCTTAAAATATTACACGGCCACGGCATCAGTAAATATGACGATTAGCTACGAAAAATGCTTAATGGGGGCTAAATAGTACTACTTCAAATTCTCTGTCCAGTAATATAATGCAATGGGACCCTTAGTGAAACATGCATTGACAATATTCTTAGTTTCTTACTACTAAAGACTCTATTTTCATGGGAAATATTCAAAACAAAAAGTTTCTGAACAGAATCAAGAATCAAGAATCAAGAACAAAGAGGTGTTGCGGATATATATGCACAATGTTAAGATGTTTCCGATTAGGTAAATACATGGATATTGATGCTTTTGTTTTTCAGCGAGGCGAACCATAAGTTACATTGACATACCAGAGTTGTTATAGGAGTGAAAACTCGGAAACACAACAGCATCAAAATGTGCTTATACTCTTCTCCGGGAATCTTCTAACTGAAAGAAAACTCGGGGTGTAAAGCACTGCCGACATACCGTCTTCCAACTCCGGAAGTTCTAAGTCATCCCGTTCAACTTCGAACAAATCAAATTCCGTAATAACTCTAGTCTTTTTGGAGTAGTAGTACGTGCGCAAGTCATGCCACGCCATCAAAATGTCACCATCGTTGAAAACTTTTATAGGATAAATAGTCCAATATTCATCATGGTCAACGAAAAAGTCGGGGATTTTCGTTAGAACAAATTCCTTTATCCAGGATTTCTCGTCTCCATAGTCCTTCATCGACCAGATAACGATTTCATCCGCAGGCGTACTATCGCATACACACAGGCAATCCTTCAAAACCACTAGGCTCACGAGAACTATGGAAAATCTTAACCACCTTATACAGGGCACTCATTTTGCTCACCCCAAATCCATAAAGCTACACTTGCAGAAAAGTAACAGTAGAAAATGCCCTTCAGTAACAGTAGGAATAAATACAGACCATTGGATGAACCCTTGAGCTCGGATTGCTCGAATCCTGTGGAATCGAATTTGATGATTTGATTGTAGTGAAGATCGTGGCTTTCGAGACCGAGTTCATCATCGAATGCGAAAATTTTGTAATTTTTGAAGTCCGAATCGTAGCCGATGAACAGTGCCGGGACGGAATTGGAGCGATGGAAATCGGTGAATTCGCGGGTGTGTGTGTAGCAGATTCCGCCATGACTAGCAGACGCATTTGCAGGTTCCGATTGATCGAATTGGAAGCCGTGATACGATGTCGATGATGATCTCCGGCGGTAGATTTCTGAAGAATTGTAGCTTCAATTTGGGATTTCTTCCACGATTCCATTTCTGCTGATGGAAGAACAAACCCTAACTCTAAACAAAAATAATTGGGAGTGTGGAAGTTGCTAATGATAGATAGATATAGTTGCTAATGATAGATAGATATTAGGGGTAATATGCTATGAGTCCCTCGAATCAATCCTAATTTGAACTAAATGACAAGTCTAAATTCAATCTTTTAATTAAAGGAAGCGACTATTTGCAAGACGAAAATTACTTAGTGCAAGACCAAATTAATTTTTTTTATTAAATTCAGTATAAAAAGACTATAATAACCTTAATAAAATACAAACAAAATAAAAATTATTTTATTAATTTCCTTTTGCAAGACTAGTTTAAAAAAGAAAAATTAATAAAAAAAGAAAGAAAAAAGAAATTGAATTGAGAATTGAAAAACGAGGAGGGAAGAAGGGAAGAAGAAAACAAGAAAATCAATTGCACCACTCAACCGTCGCCCCATCGCTCCGTCGCCGTCGCCCCGTCGCCGTCGCCGTCGCCGTTGAAGTGCACCACCTCCCCGTCGCCGTTGAAGTCCGTTGTTGCCCCAACCCCGCCACAACAATCTCACGAAAAACAAGGAAATTACTTTTTGAATTAATTTTTTTTGAGAAATAAATGTGATAAACATGATTTTATTGTTAGAATAATGAATTCAAGTCATTTTAGAACATAGTTAATGATTCTAGGGTTCGATTGTAGCACTATTGTTGAAGGAGTTGCGGTTTTACAAAAAACGACCTGTACTTGTCGATTTTTTGGAAATTTTTCGACATACTGGTGTCGATTTTTCAACATACCAGCGTTGAAATTTTTTGAAAAATCGACACACCAGCGTCGAAAATTTCAATATAATTCGACACCAGAATGTCGAAAATTTCAATATAATTCGACACCAGAATGTCGAAAATTTCAATATAATTCGACAGTTAAGGAGTGTCGAATTATGTTGAAATTTTCGACACTACTGTGTCGATATTAAGCGGATATTTCGACCTGTACATGTCGAATTTTTTGTACGTGAAATGAGGTGCGAAAAACGAGAAAAACGATCACAAAGTACAATATTTATTACTTCTTTGTGTTCTTCGACCTTAGAATCCTCCATATTTATGTCTTGTGTATCCATAATGTCCTTCTTTTCGAGTTTTAGTAAAGATTTGAGGGTTTTATGTGATAAGGATTTTGGAGAATATGGAAGATTTTTGTGGAAAAAAATGTGTAAAATGAGGGTGAAGAAGAAGATGTTGGTAAAAAATTTTTGTATTTTTTTTTGGTCTTGCAATAGCAATTAGGTTAATTTAAATTAATAATATCTAAATTATTATTGGGGTTATATTTGTAATTTCCAGTCTTGATCTTAGTAAATTTATTTATATTTTGGTCTTGCATGAAGTAAGGTCTTGCACTTAGTAATTTTCGTCTTGCAAATATTCGTTGCCTTAATTAAATCCTCAATTTGAAATAATATATGACTCACATCCCTAACTTTTTTTTAATCCCTATCTTGCCCTTATTCCTTAAATATTATAACTTACATATACCACGTTTCTCATTTCAGATTTATTTCTCTTCTTCCATCTTCTCTCTCGCTTTTTCCTCTCGTCTTCTTTATATCGATCTCTCTCCTCTCTCTTTTTCTCTTACATCTCTATCTTGCTTCTCCATCAAGCACAAAGGTCGGCGACCGAGAGAGCAGGAGTGGAGCGACGGAGGAAGTGGTTGAGGCGGCAGCGGCGGGGTATTGTATGGCGGAGAAACAGGTTTTTCTTTTCTTTTTTTTTATAAGATTTGCTAATTTTTTTCATTTTTTTTGTACAGATCTGTGATTAAAAGTATATGTTGACTAATTGTATATGTTTTTATTGTTTTTGTAAGAATTTTGGCTTGGTTTTGGATCTGATTTGCTATTTTTATTCGATTTGTTGTAGGTTATTGAACGTTTTTAGGGCAACGATTGCGTGGCGGCACACGTTAGGGTTCAAAATTCCAGATCTAGGTTTTTCAACAGATGGTAGGTGATTATGGGTGCCGACGGCTGCAGTTGTCGCGCTGCTAGGGTTTGACGGCGGCTGCGTCGATTGCTAGGGTTGGCGACGGCTAGGAGTTGTTGGCGGCTAGGGTTTGGAATAGTACACTGTAGTATACTATAGTACTGCGTAGTATACCACAGTACACCGTAGTATACTACAAGTTGATGCACTGTACATGAATATCCATATATGAATAGCAGATGATGTACTGTATATGAATAGCCAGACAATGTGCGAAGAAGTAAAACTCCAGTTTTATATGCCTACAAGCATGATAATGACTACGGTAAATATAGATAACTGCAGATATTGATAGAAGATTTGAATAAAAAAGTAAAAAAAATAACATATATATATTTTTTTAATTTTCAATACATGTTACGTAAAAAAAGGATTTTTTATTTATAATAATGTATAAAATACTAAAAAGACGAAAGGAAAAAAAAAAGGACAAATCGGTATTCTGTAAAAATAAAATTTAGAAAAATTAAAAAATGAAATGCAGACTAAGAAAATGATAAATGCAATTTGAATTTATTTAAGGTAAATTTCGAATTTGGTAGGAGAAGGGCATTTTTGGAATAAATTTAATAAAGGATGTGAAGCAAATGTTTAGTTAGACTTGTCATTTAGTTCTAATAAGTTTTGTCACTAGGGACCTATATCTTAAGGCCCCTAGATATTATTGTGTGTATTTATAATTTAAACTAAATTTTAGGGCAAATTGCACTTTGCCCCCTTAAGAAAGTTGTTTTGCACTTTTCCCCTCAAAATACAAAAAACGAGACTATCCTCCTTCGAAATATACAACTCGGTGCACTTTGCCCCCAAATGTGTATTCCCAGTCTCATTCTCACTTAATTAAGGGTGTATATGTCATTTTACTTTTTTCGCTTGAAAATCCTTCTTTAAGAGTTACTTAGTGTTTTCAAATTAACGAAATTATCTTCCCAAATTGATGAAATTCGCATCCAAATTAGACGAAATTTTCTTCCTTAATTCGACAAAATTTGTTCTTTGATCTGCATAATCATTGTAATATAGGAAGAAAAAATGATAAATGACATTTAAATCTTTAAAAGACGAAATTACCCTTCCAGTTTACTCAAATCCGACAAGTAAATTGGAAATACACATTTGGGACAAAGTGCACCGATTCGTATATTTCGAAGGAGGACAGTCTCGTTTTTGTATTTTGAGGGTGGAAAGTGCAAAAAAAACATTCTTTTAGGGAGTGAAATGCAATTTGCCCTAAATTATATATAAAGTATTAATATTCAAATTTTATACCGTTAGCCTATCATCTGGTTCTTTCATGTCTAAGTACCCAAACCCCTCAATTCCAGAAAACTTGAACCTTGCAATACGTTTCTTGTCGCAGCAATTCCGCCACCACCGCAAAAATTTCAGAGGCAAGAATTCGCCACCATCGGAGCTGTTCAAACTGCGGCAAATTCACTCTCTCCTCGTCGTCTCTGGATTTTCCGGCCACTCTCCATTCCTCACAAGACTACTCCTTCACTGTGTGTCGCTTCCTTCCTTCCCTTCCGCCTACGCTTCCACCATTTTCAGCCGAATCCACCGCCCCAATGTCTTCACCTACAACGCCCTCATCGGGGGTTTCGGTTTCGACCCGGAAAAAGCCGTTTTCTTCTACGTTAAGATGCGCCAAGATGGCGTCTTTCCCAACATGCACACATTTCCTTTACTGCTCAAGTCCAAAACCCAGATACCCTTTCAGATTTTTGCGCAGTCGATCAAGTTCGGGTTCGGTTCCGATCGATTCGTGCTAAACTCTTTGTTATCGGTTTGGGCCAATTGTGGGCTGATTGAGTATGCTCGCCAAGTGTTCGATGAAATGACGCACAGAGACGTCGTTGCCTACACTGCGTTAATGGATGGGTATGTGAGAAATGCTCGTGCTTTGCAAGCTCTGGACCTCTTTCTGGAGATGAAAGTAAATGGGGTGGGGGCGGATGGGGGTGCTGTTGTCACCGCTCTTTGTGCTGCCGGAACTTTGGGCTGCGTTTGGGTTGGAAAATGGATACACGGGTTCTTTATCGAAACGGGTAGGGTCGTCCGAGATGTTTATGTAGGCAGTGCTCTCATTGACATGTATTCCAAATGCAATTGTAATGAAGATGCACTCAGAGTTTTTCGAAATATGCCTTACAGAAATGTCGTTTCTTGGAGTGCTTTAATATCCGGTTACGTGCAGGGCGATAGATTTAAGGAAGCACTGCTTCTTTTCCAAGAAATGCTAGTCGAAAAAATCAAGCCAAGTGAAGCTACACTAGTAAGTGTCCTCACATCATGCGCTCACCTCGGCTCGTTGGATCAAGGCGTGTGGGTCGATAAGTACATACACACACATAAAATAGAACTAAATTCACCACTCGGGACAGCTTTAATCGACATGTACACCAAATGCGGTTGCATTAACGAAGCATTTCGTGTATTCGAAAGTATGAATTTCGTGGATGTCTACCCATGGACAGCCTTAATCTTCGGACTAGCAATAAACGGACATGCTATAACCTGTCTAAATCTTTTCTCTCAGATGTTAAGCAGTGGAGTCAAACCGAATGGAGTCACTTTTATAGCCGTTTTAAGCGCTTGTTCACACGGGGGTCTTGTAAACGAGGGGAAGGAAATATTCAAACTAATGGGAAGTGTTTACGGTGTGATACCGACCGTTGATCACTACGGTTGTATGGTGGATATTCTTGGTAGGGCGGGGAGGTTGAGAGAGGCGGCGGAGTTGATCGGGGAGATGCCGATGGAGGCTAGTGGCGGTGTGTGGGGTGCTTTGTTCGGTGGTTGTGTGAAATATGGGGATTTTGAGATGGGGGAGATTGTGGGGAAGAGGTTGATTGAGATGGAGCCGAGGAGGAGTGGGGGGTATGTGGTTTTGGCGAATTTGTACTCGAGATTTGGGGATTGGGAAAAGGCGGCTAATGTGAGGAAGAAGATGAGTGGAGTTGGAGTGGAGAAGGTGAAGGGGTGTAGCTGGATCGAGTCGAACGGTGTGATACGTGAGTTTGTTGCGTTTGAGAAATCGGATGCGGCTTCGGAAAGTGTGTACGAGGTCTTGGATAGTCTTACTGCTCAGATGCAGCAGAAGCTTCCTTTTGTTGTGGAAGAAGACTGTTTCTTGGAAATTTAGAGCTATTGATATCTGAGACAAAGTGGCCCCTCAACTTAACGGTCAACCCTCAAATCTCTAACACCGTTAGTTTATGTAGCGTAGTTATCTTTTTACCCTTACAGTTATATGATATATATATATTTATATATACATATATATATATATATATATATATATATATATATATATATATATATATATATATATATATATATATATGCATTTTTTTGATTTTATTACTTGACCATTTTTTTTACTTTATTACGTAGCATTCTGGTTGCATCGACAAGTTGTTCTAGAAAAATATGCCATGTAGTGTTTCGACATAAAAAATGAAATGCATGAATTTTGAGGATTAGAACTGCGGGAAGCACCTTAAATTGAGAATTCTTGGGATGAAAATGAAATTATAAAATTTCATAAATTAAAAAAAAATTAAAAATATTATCCGTAATAAAAAGAGATTCATAATGTTTTTGGGTGAAAATTTTAGACTGGAAACAAAATTAAAAAAAATATATAAATTTAAAAGGAAATTGTAAGTAATTTTCAGAATATAATTTTTTTAAGGTGAAATTTGGATAAGTTGGTTAGGTTGTGGAAAATAAAATTAGAGAAGAAATATGAAAAAAAATAAAAAAATTAGGGGTAAATCAAGTACAGAAAGAAAGAGGCACACCTTTTATATACAACTAAAGGGTATTTTTGTCCGAAATTATGTAACATCTGGTGCAGCGGTCGGTCAACTTTGAAAATGGCATGGCTTGACGTGAAGGGCCACATTTTCGTATTTTGTAGTATAGAGGTATATGCGATAGCTGAAATGATTTGTGCAGGCACATATTAAACAGTCAGGCACATTTTTTACCATTCTTCAAAAAACAAACTGAAATGATTTGTGCAGGCACATCTTAAACAGTCAGGCACATTTTTTACCATTCTTCAAAAAACAAAAAGTGAAAAAACTCAAAAACTCTCTCAACCTTTCGATTTTCTTTCGCAAAGCCCGTGCAAATCGTCAACAGATCGGAGGTAATTTTTACGTTTTTACGATCCTCTTGTTATGTAGATTACGAATCCGAAAAAAAAAAACGAAAATAATCGGACTTTTGCCTGCTCGTGTGAATTTACACGAGCGCATCCATTGCGCTCGTGTAAATCCACACGAGCAGGCCAAAGTTTTTTTTTTTTTTTTAATTGCTCGTGTAAAAACACACGAGCGGTCAAAAAGGAAAAAAAAACT